ATAAACATAGCACGTGGCTAGGAGAAAGAGGAAAAACTGAAATTTATTTTAGCATCTGAAGCTCTATTCAAAAAAAAGAGTAAGCACAAAAATTTGCCTAGATATTTAAAAGAGACTGAGATAGTTTGGCTGTATGGGGGGTGATCACTGCCAAAATATGATAAATTTATAGAATGGTCTAGTTCTCCACGCGCATATCATTGTCAATGCATTATGTGTATCATAACAACAGCCAAAAGTCCAACATGATTAGAAATCACAGGTCCACCAGTATTCTTTTCTTGCGACATGGGTCCACAAAAGATATCATGGTCTGCAATACAAAATAGCTATGGTCAACATGGGTGGGCGCGGCTAGGTTTTATGGGCGTGGTTTAACTTTATGATGGCTGCTTGCAAGCTCTATACAAAGAAGAATTTCTAATAATTTATCTTCACAATATATGCTGATGGAACTTAGCTGTGATAGGAACCACATCTTTTATATATTTTTTAAAGCTTAAAGGACTTTGGAACTTTCCCTATCTCCACCTCAGTCAAAAAGACCCTGTATTCATACAGCCTCCCAGGCTAGTATATAAGTTCATATTGCTCTCTGATCTGGTGCCCCTATCTTGTTAAAGACTTCAAACTATTCTAATAAGTTCAGCAGATGGTTACAAAGTACATTTTGAATGCACAACCAGACAATAGATTTTAATATCTAGTGACAGTGATGATGAGCTTCCTTCGTTTCTTCCTTTTTACAATTGTCACTATTACCCATCGCTTCTACCCCTACTGAGTCACCTACCCCCTAACCTGTTGTTAATCAAACATTACATATTTTACAGTGTTATCAAACTCAATGCTGGTTATTAGGATGAGATATTGAATACAGTTAACAGCTCAGCTCTTAATGTAAATACAGATAACAGTTCCACTTGAGTGCCAACTGATGTAACTTTGTGAGTTAACATTATGCATGAATCAAAGTGATAGAGAGAATATTTGGCATGATATTTTTAATAGTGTATCTGAAGTTATGTTTCATGTCCATTGATGCAAGATGTCTTTCATGTGCATGACTATAAGAAGATCTAACATTTTGAGATCCACCCTGTGTGGCTATAGCAGGAGATCTTTTTACCTAATAAAATGCTTGTAGTAATTGTGTGTATGTGTCTTTGTGCATGCATGGTAATAGTTATTTGTGTATTTTAGTATTCAATTTGTTTTAGGTTAAGTATCTTGGTAAAGCAGGTTATGATAGAGGTGGTCTTTGAAGGGAGTTTTTTATGACTTAGCATATGGCATCAAGTCTTCTCTTTTTAATTAGCAGGAACAATTCATTTCTCATAAGGCATGACATATTGCTTTGCAGGTATATAATTAGTGCTTAACATTATAAGTATAATGCTAGAGCCTAGAGTAATAGTTTGAAAAGATAGGATTCCTTATGTCAATGGCACTGGCTCAGGATGGTACTGGTTTTTGTTTTTGCTTATATATTTGTGGCATAGAGCCTAGAGGTTGATAGGAAGCAGTTCCTGACTATGAAGTATCTATTTTTAACAAAGGTATGCATGTTTCCATTGTTGTATCACTTAAATGATGTCCTTGCTAGATAAAAGAGATTCACAATGATGCCTCTTTAAGGGAGATGGTAATCATTGATATTGTCTCACTCCATTACACCATCCTGCATTGCACTGCTGAGTTGGATCAATTGAAGAAGGGCCTCTCATCACTCGGCATCTTGTATATTATTAATCATAATTCCAGTATAATGGCTCTTCAGTAGCCCTGATAATTGGTGGTTAACAGCAGGTAAACAAAATAATGTAATATTAATTTTTGTGTTAGTGTTTTAAAAGTGAAATTAATTATTTAGTTTTAAATACTAAATACCGTACAGAAGGAAATTTTGGAGGGACTAAATTTTGGCGAATTGCTAAATTTTGGTGATTGGCGAATTTTAATTTGGCGAATTTGTGGCCACGTGCCATTGAGCATGCGTATAATGCTCAAAATG